CTTCGACGTTGTCCGTGACGTAGCGCCTGTGGTCCGTCTGATGGGGCTTATACCAATAAAAATGGAGGAGTAGTGCCGGCGTAATGATCAGCCCAGACGTAATGGTAGAGCCAATGAGCGATCCAAACATAAAGGTTATGACTCTGATCATACATCATTAGTAAATCGAAATCCTAAGACGTGCATATAGAACGTCGAAAATGATTTCGGAACTGTGAGGCACTACCTCAGAGACGTGATCTCAAATATAGTAGAGGCGATCGGAGTGACGATTCCGCGGGCGATTCAGGAAAACAATTCTCAACGTGATTCTGAGCCCATAATCGTGGGCCCTATGCCCGTTGCACCAGTCCTTTTTGTGATTGTGATCTGAACGAAAAGTAGCATGTATCCGCAAAGGGTTTTTGCATACTTTTGAGGCTGCTGCCTCTCGCTCGCAGAAGCTACCTCCGGTATCGTATCAGAATCGTAGGGCGGTCAGAGTGGTGTTCGACTCTTGACACAAATCAGCAATATCCAAATCGCTACAGGATTGTCCACAGAATCACCGTGGAATCACCAGCTCTGACCGCCCCTATAAACGTGCACGGGTCGACACCTCCCATCGGATCGTAGCGAAGCACGTCACAGGAACGAGTGCATGGACCAAGCACGCTTGGGTCCTATTGTCAAAGGTCATGCAGAGGGCACTCACCTTCGAAAGGTCCATCCTTCTGTCTTTTTCTTCTTGCCCATGGCTTCCTCGAACCGCGCCTCTTCATCCACCAGGTCTTCCTCGTTGCTCCAGTCGTAATCCTCGTCCTCCTCATATTCATCTTCGGTGCCGGCGATCGATGGTGTGCGCGAGCCGGACGGGATATATTCCGGATTTGAGCGGGAAAGGAAAGCGTCTGCAGCAGCGTGGTCGGTGGAGTCCGGAACGCTCCGGACATCGTCTGGATAGTGCACGGAGGGTTTGGCGAAGGGCAGCTGCTCCGTCGCCTGGCGCTTCTCCTGATTGCGCCTCTCGGGGCTGGTCGCCATGTCAGGGAGGTGGAGGCTGGAGTGCGACCGGTAGGCGGGAGAGTCCTCGCGGTCGCTGTGGTCGTGGACGTGCCAGGGTTGTGGGCCGAGGAGAAGCTGGGAGGAGGATGCGACCGGCTCGTAGGGCGGGGAGGGGAGGTGGATGTCACGCTCGTCTGTGTGGAATAGCTCGAGCTGAGTTGGCCTTCTGCGAATAGGCTGAGCGGACAAATTAGGCGAATCTGAATCCGGCGTCGGTCTGCTCATGACGTCGCGTGCAGACCAATTTACCGACTCGGCTGGCGATACAAGCTCGCCTAGCGGGTGGGCACTTGGCGAGACGATCTATAACCTCGAATAGAGACCTCGAAGATATGAACAGAGAACGAGAAAGAGAATGGCGTGGGTAGCTAGAGGGTAAATATCCGGCCATCTGCATGCTTCGTGAGGCCCCCATAAAATGACAGATGACCCGAAAGAGGAAACTTTTTGCGAGAATGTAGTGGCGAGTCGACTCCCCCGCAGCGGGCTACCAATCTCCGATTCCCGCCACCCTCGATTTGGTCCTCGGCTATGTGGACTTTTCGGTCCGAAGTTCTGACGTCACACCATTTTGTCTGCTCGCTTGGATTTTGTCTTCGCGCGCGCAGCCTCCTTTCTGCGCAGGCTGCGCGTCGGTCGCACGCTACGAGTCCCTTCTTCCTGCTACCCATGCGAATAGATCAAGCTTCGCAGACTTGCTCTCCATCATAAGGAACCAACGTGTGCAACCGATTAAGACCCCCGTGGCGACTCGCTGTGGAGCAAGCCAGGCACCGTTGTCAGCGCGCAGCACGCTCATGATGGAGCCACCCAACACAGCCCAACACTTGAACCAGCCATTCTCAGAAGGTATCAGACGCACTCGTTTCCCGCAATCGTCACCCGTAGAAAGATAGCATGGTTTCAGTCAGCACGTAAAGCGCCGCCCAAGTCGGCTGGATCGCAACTCTCTTGAGCAAATTGCATAGTCTGCTGTACGGCATAGTGCACTACCCAGATTCCCCGTCGAAGCAATCCACTGAATGAAGCATCAACCGAAACAGAGTTCCCAGGGGTGGCCGGGACCACGCACCAAACTCTCAGTAGATAGGTATCATGGCGAATTTTATACATTGTTCCCAGTCCTTCCAAGCTTCTTCCGAGTAGATATCGTACATTCCGTCATCTTCTTTTTATGCAGCTTATCATCTGTCCACCTCACGAAGCACGGGGACCACCACGCCCGCGTCCCCCGAACGCTCCTCTGCCGGCAAATCCAACTCTGAACGGTCCAAATCCACGTCCAAACGGCAGGATATGCGGTGCTCCGGGGGCCCATTGATCGTAGCCACCCCGAGGAGGCGTCCTAGGCCGCTCCGGGAATGCACCAGGCATCGGCCCCGCCTCCTCCGCGTCCGCATCCTCGTCCGCATCCGGCTACGCAGCGCACGTCAGCCCTAAGCAACTCGCGATAACCACTACACTTACGTCCAGGTCGATCACCAGCGCACCCGTGTGCCACCCTGCGGCCGCGGCCGCGAAGCAGAACATCTCACGCGCGGCACCCGCGGAGCCAAAGTGCACCGGCGCGGGCTCGCGGACCTCGGGCGGGGGCACCTGCATACCCCAGCGGCCGCGGAGGGCAGCCTGGCGGTTCGCCTCGGTGGCGAAGCCACCGGGCGTACCGACGGGAAGCTGGGTGGGCTCGCCGAGGCCGAGCGCGCCCTTGGAGAAGGAGCCCCAGGTGAGGAGCTGCCCCGATGCGGTGAGCGCGCCGTAGTGGTAGTCGCCGAGCACAACGGCAATGACGCCACGGTTCTGCAGCGCGGGGAGCACGAGCGGCGTGAAGGGCTCTGGGGTGTCGGACTTGCCCATGAGCACGAGCGAGCGCGCGCCGGGCGTGTAGGCGAAGAAGGTGGTGAAGTGCGCCGAAATCTGGAAGAGGTGGGTTAGGCTGCACAGTAAGTGGAAGGTGGGGAGACACTGACATGGGTGATCTGGAGTGCCTCGGGGAGCTCTATGTCGTGCTCAGCGAAAGCGGGGTTGGCCCTGATTCTCTGGGGGTCGCAGAACTCGGGAAGCTGAAAGACTCAATCAGCCTGGCCTCTCGCGGGTGACAATGAGACCAGCTCACGAATCTCCACGCGCCCCGCTCATAGTCATGTTCACCGCCTAAATGATCGTACCTCAGCACATGGCCCTTATTCGTCAGTGCAATTAAGTAGTTGTCCATCCCCGCAACCTTCACCACCCGTGTCTCCTCCGCCCTCTCCCGTTCCCCCAGCCCTGTGTCCATCTCCGGCAGGTTCGCCGGGATTGGCGGGAGCCGTATGGGGTCGACTCCCTGCATGACCCACCAGTGGCACGGGATGACATCTGGCTCCTCCTTCGTCGGGCGCGCGCGACTCTCCGGGCGGGTTTCGTTCAGTTCCTCGTTCGTGCGCTCAATGACTCCGTGCATGCGCCCGCCGAGCGGCCAGAACACGAGGACGTCCCCACCCATGGTGAGCACGGAGGAGAACGCCCAGCCGCACTCGATCTGCGCGGGCGTGCTGTCGGGCGAGGATTTGTCTAGCAGCGGCGAGGAGAGCCGGAAGGGCCGCCCCCAGGAAGTGAACGTCCAGACGTCGGAGGACGCATCGAGTGCAGTCGTATGCAGGCGGCCGCAGCTGCGGATCGTTGTCCTAGTGTTGGTACAGTATAGAGTGGACCCAGAGAGAAGACAAACCTGAGACTTCGGAATTTGACGGGGAGGTTGAGGCGCATGGGCCTCTCGGCCCGCTTGCATGGCTCGGAGAAGCCATCGCTGCGGAGTGCCATCGCGCTGCCGTCGAGTTCACCTGCTCATGGTTAGCCTGGGTCAGATTCGTTGTCGTTGGCGGGCGTACCCCATACGAATACGTTTCCCTTGGAGTCGAGTGCGTGGAATGACCTAGGAACGGCCTGAATACGTGTGCGTCATAGTGACATAGTGCACAGTACTCACATTCCACTCGCGACGAGGCTTACAATGCGTACACCCGGGATGCGCAACTGTACCGGGAAGGGTACACCCATGGGCACGTTCGATCGCGGGAGGTCACCTTCAGCCATCCCGAGCCGTCCATGTGTCGATTCACTATACAAGTCCCAGCGTCATCAGAACGTCATGGTCCTGAAGATGTGCTATGTCAGACACTGCGACGCACCCCCAGACATGCAGCCGCGGATGGGCGAGCCGACTGTACAGGAACTTCCACCCAGTGCGCCGCGCGGTGTCTGCGCCGGAGAAGTTGAAGTCCTGCTGCAGCTTGCGATGCCAGAGCGTCTCATCGGATGCGAGCTGGTAGAACAAGCGGCTCGTTGCACCAAAATGGATGAGATCCGCATTGGGGAGCAGCGGGAGAATGTTGTCGAGGAAGAGCTCAACAGGAAGATCTGTGATCGCCGGCATAGGTGCAGTGCGTTACCCAGGTGAGCTCGAGAGCGATGAATAGGATATAAGGAGGCCGTGTATGAGCACGGCTTATAAGTGGTAACCAGTGGAACGTCACAGTGCCGGGGGCAGGTCAGTTCCGCTGATGTCGATGACTGCTGCGATAAGTCGGGCCCCTGCGCCGCAGTTCGAGGCCTGGTTGTGGACAAGGTTTAGGTCTGAGACATATGTCTGCTTGAGCAGCGAATGATCAGCGCGCAGCTCGATTCGATACCAGCCTGCTCCGAGTCGGAATATCGCCGCAGCAGCCAAAGTACTGCACCACAGCAGCTGCTACACCTCTCTCGACGGAACCCCACGGCCCGTCTCACATCATCGACGTCATCCTGATCTTCTTAGCGTGCGTCCAGTACATAGTCCTGTAATGTTCGCTCTTGCTCTTTTTGTTTCACGAAACACGGTCTCGGCGAAGCCATAAAAGCAAAACGCTTTTACACGTTGCGCACCAAAAATTCAAACAAATTGTGCGAGCAGGGAAAAAATCAACGCACAGGGCGGCTATGGGCCTGGCCGGGAATTGAACCCGGGACCTCCTCCAAATTGCAGATACGCCCTAAGAAGGAATCATACTACTAGACCACCAGGCCTTGTTCATGTGATTATCATGGTGGTACTCCATCGCGGGGGAGGGGGACCGAAGTGGACAACGTTGCGTTGGACGCTGGACGCTGGACACTGTCTTTCGTTGTCCTTGCTCCTCGTGGTGGTGTGGCGAGAGTGGAAAGTGGCTATATACACTCACAAGTAGTCATATGTCCGTGGATATAGCGAGAAGCCAGGACAGACACTGCGATATGGAGGAGGAAGATAGAGGGCAGCTGAACTGATGTGTGTAGAAGCTCGTCTTGATTAACACAGCACCCGATAACTGCCATACATTAGGATAATCAGCGTGTATATGCGCCAGTGAATTCGCATTAGAGCGTCTCGGTGGGTATAAACCGGCCGCAAGCTGGTGGTCTTCTGAGCTCGCTTCAGGTTGCCCGTAATCGCGGGTTCAGAGTGAGGCGTTCGCGGGAAAAGAAAACACGTCTATTCGTAGGTGAGAGGTGCCCTTAAATACAATTCAGAGCGCGCTCCCGCGTCTTATTTCTACCAGGGCCCCATCCAATGAGATCACAGAACGAGGGATGATAACGAAAGCGATCGAGAGAAGGAGGGTAGATGTCGATGATGATTAACAACGAGAAGACCAAGAACTGATACCAAATTAAGGAATAGACCTTCCGGATCCGGATACTGGCGCTCGATCCAGCTCGCACCGTGGGCGTAGACCGATGTCCCGACTTGAGACATGCTAGGTCCAGACCGCGCAAATATCGTTTGTCTCCCGCACTTACCATCAATGTTCAAGGTATAGAAAGTCTGAGTACATGATGAATAATCCCGAAAATCCCTGGGACATCATGAGTACAGGTTAGATTTCTAGTAAGTTTTGACCGTGTTCGACATATGTTCATAAGGGGCATGTGGGTTACACCTGGAGTAAATATGATATTTTCGCGACATGTGCTCAGCATGCCCCGAAACAGGACATCGGACTACGCCCACGGTGTCGGGCGCGCTTCACCACGCAATCTTGGGGGTGGTCAGTCCGAGCCTTGCCTCGTTCCCTATTTGCGATCTGCAGCATTGAGGAATTATTCCAACGAACCCGCGGGGTGCTCGTGCTCAACGAGCTCGAGACATGGGACACCCCTCAGCATGCGTGACTGGGTCTTGTGTGAGGCGCGCAATTTCGACGTCGTACGAGTCGTACCTACAGAAAAGGAGAGGTACGTGAACAGAGGCGCGCGCTGCCGTTACCCTTCCGCAGGGGGTGGCCACGTACAATACGGGGAAGACATGGTAGTAGATGGAGTAGCCAACATCTTGGACATCCTGGCGGTCTGAATCGGGGACAAGATGGCGACACACGTCGTGGTAGGTACGGCCAGGGAGGTCATCGCTGTCCGGGAGCGAGATTAGCGCAGGCAGAACATCGACCAATTTGTTGCGTTCTGTCATGTCGTCGCGTTGGCTGGAAGGATCGTGAGAACACCAAGGAGGACATCGTCACAGGCGCATGAAGTGCAGTAGGGGGATAACAAGTGCACGAGAAGCTCGACGTGTTGATGGAGGTGAGCGTTGTGAAATGACATGATGGGCAATTAATGGTGATTAAATATGGGAGCCTCAGAGTGTGCCATGATCTGAGCGAAGAAGGTTTTGCAGAAAGGCAGGGTCAGGAGGAGCAAGACGGGAGTGGGAGCGCTAGGTCGCAGGTCGCGGCTCGCGGGTCGCGGGTCGCGGCGTCGCACTAGCCATTATGTGAGTGCATTGTAGTGAATGTGAGAAGCCTACGTAGATGGCGGTCAGCGAGAAGGAGTAAGAAAATAGGGACTGCAGCAGCATTGAGGATTACATATTGCATATTGAATGTGGGCGCTCGGAAACGAGGAGAGGCTAGCACTACTGACCGGTGCGCGGCCAGGGCCTGGGCGTGAGGACGCCATACTCTACCGTGTCAAATGTGGGCCGCCACACACAAAGGCAGCGCAGCGCCGGGACCAGGAATCCTGAGAGAGATGGCAAGAAGGATTTGGGTATATCACAGCGCTAGCTTGGGCACGAGGGTACAGGCTTGGAATAAGAGTCAACTCGAGATTCCAACCTAATCGAATGCAAGACCTGAGACCGGAGCAGCCTCGACTGTCTGCAGTACTGTGCACCCATGCTGCATTGCTGGGTACAGGACTAGTTGCGATACGATTTGGAGACGTTCTACAGTGGCTCTAGTGTGTAGGGCCAACACTGAATTGCGCACAGGGACTTCGCGGGCAGCTTCCGAAGGATATACGCCTTCGGAAAGCTCAAAAATGCATGCTCTGAATGCCCAAGTGATCGTGTCTGGAACGGCGCATGCATGCATCTGGCTCCCTTGCAGAAGTAGGATACTTGGCTCTGAATTTTGTCGAGTATACGCAGCGAATGTAAAAGTAAGTACTGTTGGAATGCAGTGGAGGGAACCAGTGGCTGGTCACCGGGCTGAGCGAACCGATTGTAGACGTTGATTAGGCGCGCGACCGAGATCCCGACGGTTAACTGGGAGACGCGTCCGCGCCGGAGGTTATTCGTGTACTCATCCTCGCTCTGCAGTCCAGCACTGCAAGTCCAGCACTGCAGAGGCGTTACATGCGCAACCTGTTTCTACTTTGCCATTGAACATGGCGTCCAGCACCTCCTCCGTCCACTCAGAACCCCTCGCGGACATCTTCCGCGGCCTCAAGGACCGGGACCACGAGCGCCGCCTCCAGTCTGCAATAGAGCTGCAACGCTATGTGCGTGCCAACAGATATAATCCTAGAACATGTCCAGTTCATGCTGACATGCTTCTAGGTCTCAAATACTGTTCCAGAGATGTCGCCCGATGCGGCCGCGAAGCTCTGGGAGAACAGCATTACCCCGCGCCTCTTCGAACTGATCCACAGCCAGAGCAACGTCGAGAAGCTAGGCGGCATCCTTGCCATCGGTGCGCCCGATGCCGTCTTCGCCGGGGCATCCCCCCGTTCCATACACTGACCCGCTTCTCAGACCACCTGCTCAATGTCGAAGCGGCAGGCACGGAGTTCAGGGGGAACCTCTTCCGCATCTACAACTATGTCCGCTCGCTCCTGCCAAACCCCGACATCAATGTCATGCTCGCTGCGTCCAAGACGGTCGGACGCATCGCCGAGATCGGCGGGCCTGCGTTCGGCGAGCGCTTTATGGACCTCGAGGTGCAGGGTGCGATTGGGCTCCTCCAGGGAGACAAGCAGGAGCCCTCCGGCCGCTACGCCGGTGTGCTTATCCTCAAGGAGCTCGCACGCAACAGCCCGACGTACTTCCACTCCTACATTGGCATCGTGTTCGACAAGATCTTGGTTCCACTCAGGGACTCGCGGGTGATTGTCAGGGAGAGCGCGGCGGAGCTCCTGGCGGCGTGTCTTGAGATCATCATTCACAGAGAGAGACAGACACGAAGTCCAATCCTGCTCAAGATCCTGCAGGACGCACAGCTAGGTCTGAAGATGGCCGCGCCGGAGATCATTCATGGGTCGTTGCTGACGTACCGGGAACTACTATTGCATGGCGGCATGGTGAGTTGCATACTACAGCTATACAGATTGTCATGACCTGACGACCCTGCGAAGTTCATGAAGGAAGGTTTCCTCGACACCGCAGACCAGATCCTGTCGTTCAAGACCCACCGCGACGCGCTCATCCGCAAGACTGTCATCACCCTCATACCGACCCTCGCCGCCTACGACACGTCTTCCTTCTCCGAGCACCACCTGCACAGGTCGATGGGCCACCTGCTCACGCAGCTCGACAAGCCCAACGAGCGCTCGGTGGCCTTCATCGCAATCGGGCACGTTGCTACGGCAGTCGGGAGCGAGATGAAGCCTTTCCTCGACTCCATCATGACGCACATCAAGCAGGGTCTGCAAATGCGAGGGAAGAAGAACGCGCCCTCCGAGGAGCCCATCTTCCAATGCGTCGGCATGCTCGCGGAGGCGGTTGGCCCGAACCTCACGAAGCTTCTGCACGACCAGCTCGACCTCATGTTCGCGTACGGGCTGAGCGAGCCGCTCCGCCAAGCCCTGGTCGCGATCGCACGATACATCCCCCCGCTCCTGCGCACCATTCAGGACCGTCTGCTCGACTTGCTCTCACAAATCCTCACTGGTCAGCCGTACAGGCCTCTCGGTGCGCCGCCCACGCTCCTTCGTGGCGAGTCTGGTGCGTCTGGACGGGATTTTGCAAACGGGGAGGTCAGTGGGTGCTTGGTTTGCTTGCGTATATGCTCATGGGAACACTGCAGGTGCCGGGGAGCCTGAAGAGCCCCGAGCTCATCACACTTGCGCTCACGACTCTGGGCACGTTCGACTTCACGGGACACGTTCTTAACGAGTTTGTTCACGCGGCGGCGCTGCCATATCTGGAGGAGGACCAGCCTGAGGTCCGGCGAGCCGCAGCGCTGACGTGCTGTAGGCTGTTCATGAAGGACCCCATCTGCTACCAGGCGAGCAACCACTCGATCGAGATCATAAGCGACGTGATCGACAAGCTGCTCACAGTCGGCATCGCCGATCCAGGTAGGCTGCAGCAGCTCGGACGCGAAGGTATGCTGATAGCCCGCAGACCCGAGCATTCGCCAGACGGTGCTGTCGTCACTGCACGATCGCTTTGACAAGCATTTGGCACAGGCGGAGAATGTGCGCTCACTGTTCATCGCCGTCAACGACGAGGTGTTTGAGAACCGAGTCACCGCCATCGAGCTCATCGGCCGGCTAGCGGGGCACAATCCGGCGTATGTCATGCCCTCCCTGCGGAAGATCCTCATCCAGCTCCTGACCGAGCTCGAGTATTCAAACGTCATGTACGTCTGTCTCTCTGCCGTCCATCGCATTCCACAAGCTTTACACTGCGCAGGCGTAACCGCGAAGAGTGCACACGGCTGCTCACGCTCTTAGTCGGCGCGACACAGCGTCTGATCAAACCGTACGCACTGCCGATGCTGCGTGTGCTGCTCCAGAAGGCGGAGGACAACAATCCGACGGTGGCG